ATCTCATATTGCTCTTTAATAGAATCTCAAATGAAGAGCTGAACAAAAACTCTGAGAAAAATGACCAGACTAATAAACATTAACATCAGTGTATACGATATTCAGATGAAAATTCATCTTCCTCTATTAGTTTTCTTTTTTTCAAAAGACTAGTTACCATGGTTTCTAAAAAACAGCAGAAAAGATAATATTCCTTAATCAGAACTTATTTTTTAAAGTGTGAATATGAGTAATCTAAGCAGATTTCTTTAAGAAAGAAAACCCTAATTAAAAAAAACCCTGATTAAAAAAACCACAGAAAAAGGCAATTGATTAAAAATCAGCAGAGCTGTCAAAAGTTTAAATAAACAACTAAAAAGTAACAATTTGTTTTAGGCATAATAAAAGAAATACAGCCAAAATTCTACTATTTCACTGTAAAAAAATGTGTTCAGCATAGTTCCTACCTTTTCTTTTTAGTGATAATGAGGACATCATTAAAGAGGAAGAAGTATACTTGTTGCTTTGAAGTCCTTTTAGAAAAAAGTACAGTGTCTTCAACAAATGCTGCCAATTCACCCCGTTTCACTAACCACCGTGAAGAAGAAACCAGTGGAAAGGGCTACAAAGTAAGAAAACTGCAATTTAATCTTTTCTCCAGATTTTCCAAGCAGATATTTTAATAATAAAAAGTGTTCCTTCTACAGTTATGAATGCAAAAAGAAGAAGAAGAACTGGCATTTGCTAACCAAAAATATGAACTCTGTTTTTATCTTTATTGCTTTCAGGAAGCACTTTTGTTATTTTCTAAAACATCAACTGAATAATCCCTATTTCATCATAAGAAAAATAAACACAGCTCACTCAGAAAGTTCAGCACTAAAACAAAGCAGAAGTTAAATAAAAATGCACAGAAGGAAGTATCCTACCTTGATTTTAAATTCCAACTGGGAGTTGATGGTATACATCATTTCTGTCCTTTCCATTTTTCGAGCACCTTCATTGCACAGACGAACCAACTGGGAAAAAAAGACATCTATGTCACCAAACACATTTTCACTCAGTACTAAACATTTAGTTTTTTCTTTACAAAGTCCCATCTTTTAAAGGTACACAACAATAAGGGAATCAGAAAAAGATTTTTAATGTGCAACTATCTTTGAAAGAAACAATACAAACAATATAAGAATCCCACTTCCAAAACAGGATCCCTGGGTTTTTATGTTTTTCTTGACAGGCCCCTACAGGCACATAGCCAAGGTCACTGGCTATCTACACCTTCTTATAGCCACTCACGTCTTAGCTATTTTCCCCTTTGAACAACTATGATACACTTAGATATTCAGAAGCTACAGCTGGTACAAACTGCAATTGCCCAGGCAGTTATGGATGTATCTGGTGTACTAGATTGACTTCTCTGGTCTGGAAATTAACTGGTTACCTGTTAGTTTCCAGGTATGAATCAAGCTATCAATGGTTATCACTTTCACAGCCCTATGTTGCTCTACATCTGCCAACATCTAGAAACAAGTAAAGTAATAACTAGCAGTCAACACGGATTTGTTAAAAACAGATCATGCCAAACCAATCTTATTTCATTCTTCAACATAGTGACTAAATTAGTAGACCAGCACAATACTGTGGACATAATATATTTAGATTTCAGCAAGGCATTTGACAAAGTAGGCCACAACCTACTTCTTAGTAAGCTAGAAAAATGTGGAATAGATAGCACCACCACTAGACGGACTTGCAACTGCCTGGCAAACTGTACTCAACAAGTAGTCCTTAATGGGTTTAAGTCTACATGGAGGGAAGTAAGCAGTGGGGTGCCACAAGATTCCGTCTTGGGCCCAGTACTCTTCAATATCTTCGTTAATGACTTAGATGAGGGAATAGAAGGGGAACTTACCAAATTTGCAGATGATACTAAGCTGGCAGGAATAGCTAACATCCAAGAAGATAGGCTCAAGATCCAGATGGATCTTGATAGACTAGAACACTGGGCCATATCTAACAAAATGAAATTCAATGCAGAGAAAAGTAAAGTCCTACACTTAGGCAAGAAAAACCAAAAGTACCCATATAGACTGGGTGAAACCAGGCTCAATAGCAGTAACTGTGAGAGGGATCTTGGAGTCTTAGTGGACAACCAGCTAAATATGAGCCAGCAGTGTGCAGAAGCAGCCAAAAAAGTTAATGCAATCCTAAATTGTATTAACAGAGGAATACAATCAAGATCAAGGGGAGTACTAATACCACTCTATAAAGCCTTAGTGAGACCACACCTAGAGTACTGCATCCAGTTTTGTTCACATCATTATAAAAAAGATATTGAGACTCGAGAAAAAGTACAGAGAAGAGCAACCAGGATGACCAGGGGACTGGAGGCTAAAACATACAACGAACGGTTGCAGGAACTGGGCTTGGCTAGTCTAGTAAAGAGAAGGACCAGGGGAGACATGATAGCAGTCTTCTAATATTTGAGGGGCTGCCACAGAGAGGAAAGGGTCAAGCTATTTTCTAAAGTGCCTGTAGGCCAGACAAGGAATAATGGATGGAAATTGAACAAGGAGAGATTTAACCTGGAAATAAGGAGAAACTTTCTGACAGTGAGAACAATCAACCAATGGAACAGCTTGCCCTCGGAAGTTGTGGGAGCGCCATCACTTGAGACTTTCGAGATTGGATTGCCATTTGTCAGAAATGGTGTAGGGTGTCCCGCTTGGGCGGGGGGTTGGACTAGATGACCTACAAGGTCCCTTCCATCTGTTAAATCTGTTAAATCTGCCTTCTCCTATATTCGCCTATCCATTCAAACAAACTGAACAGGGTCATCTCCTTCCAGATCCTGTCCCTTCATGATTGTCATCCAATCAAATTCCACTCTCACAGAGGTTTATCTGGCCCTGACTTCCTGGGCCTTAGCTGTTAAGGACCATTTTGTCCCATCCAGCATAAGAGGAGGGAGTGCTTTGAATGGTAGTGAGTTCTAAGCACATGATGGTTATTTTGCTGGTTTCAGTTTTATTTTTATTTTTTCTTTGATGTATGTTTGCACTGTAATTTCTTTTATCTATCATTAAACTGATAATTTATGCTCAGTTCAAATGAATATTTGAATATATGGCAGCCCATATGTTTCTGAGTGATTCATAGAAACAACAATAAAAACATAAACAGACAACACCAGCATTGAAACAGTCAGGGCCCCAAATCAAACATCTCACCATTTCTCCATACATCCATATTTAATTTGACCAGGTTGTATCCTTTAAGTCCTTCTGGAATTAACATCCTGATCACCTCTTAACTAAGTGACTGAACCCTGAGACTTTCTAGTATTTATTTATTTATTTTGATTTGTCAATCGCTTACAAGATAATAGGTATAAGTATATACATAGTTATGAATACATGAAATGGGTACATATAAGAAAAATAAAAGAAACAATAGGACATGGACGGTAGGCATGTTGGTGTGCTACAGACCTCTTAGGAAAGGGGTGAAGTCAATAGTAGAAAGTCTAAGGTTAAAGTTTTTGGGGTTTGGGGAAGAAACCACAGAGTCAGGTAGAGTATTCCAGACATTGACCACTCTGTTGCTGAAGTCGTATTTCCTGCAATCAAGTTTGGTGCGATTAACCTTGAGTTTGTATCTATTGTTTGCTCTTGTATTGTTATGGTTGAAGCTGAAGTATTCATTGACAGGTAGGACATTGCAATGTATGATTTTATATACTATACTTAGATCGGACTGAAGATGGTGTAGTTCTAGGTTTTCTAGGTCTAGAATTTCAAGTCTGGTGGCATAAGGTATTGTGCAACGAGTAGAGGAGTGGAGAACTCTTCTTATGAAATATTTCTGGACTTTCTCAACTGTGTTAATATCAGATATGTAATGTGGGTTCCATACTGATGAGCTTTATTCGAGTATTGGTCTAGCAAATGTTTTGTATGCTCTAGTTAGTAGTGTAATATTACCAGAGAAAAAGCTACATAAGATTAGGTTAACAACTCTTAACGCCTTTTTGGCTATGTAGTTACAGTGGGTCTAGCACTTAGATCATTAGAGATGAGTACTCCAAGATCCTTGACAGAGTTTGGATCATCAACAAGATCTTGACTATTCAGTCTGTGTTTTATTTTCTGATTTTTTTTGCCAATATGTAAGACAGAGCAGTCTATAGACCCTCAACTGTAAAATGCCAATGACATTTTTGTATTACTACTGACCTACTTTTAAAAATTAATGCAAAACTTGTTATTTTCCTTACTACCAAAGAAATGCAGGATTTCAGTGCCAGAGAAATGAAAACCAAGTTTTTAAAGCTTTCTCTTTGTCCTTTTTTATTTCTATTGCAAAGGTCAACTTCAAGAACTGTAATAACACAAAATATTGATTCTATTTATTTCCAATCTATATCATTAAATCTATTTCCCAACTAAATCATTAATGAAAAGGAACATCAGATGTTGTTTGGAAAAAAAACTTTTTCTAATTGTCACCAAGATATAACTAGTACTGTATATTCAGTAGCAGCCTTACTCAATTTTCTGGAGGACACCTTTGGGAAAGTCTGTTCTCTTTCCCAAAAACTTTGGACCCTTCCCCCAACCACCAAAACAAAAAAGGAAAAAAAGGAAAAAGAGGGGGGGGAACCTTTCTGATAAAAAAATTCATCTGGAGTTACTTAGATACAAAGCAGTTATATTTCTATTTCTAGCTATTTTATTTGTAGGAGGCATATTAAAGTATTTTCTTTTTTCAGTAACAATGAATTTCAGTGCAAATAATGAGTAATTTGGAAAAAATGAGGAAAAGGCATTTTTAAAAGACCCACGAGGCATTCTTTTTTTCTGGAAAGTATTTGTTAGCAAGCCATAAGAAGCATTTTTTATGAGCTAAAGATAAATCAGATTTATCCATTGGTAGTTTAGTGACTTCCAGATAGAGTAACAGTATCAGTCAAAAGAATGCTAGTTTGTCTTCTTTTTTGATTCTGAACAGTATGTAAAATGCACCACTTTTTTAGAACTATTACAATACTGATTACATTATATAACATGCAGTATCAACGTGGAGAAATAAATCATTCTTGAATGAACCATTTTTATATTGTTTCCCTTTCTATTTCTATATATTTTATGAAAAATGTTAACACCAGGAATAATTTGCAACACAAATTACTGAGTCTTAAGAAGAATATAATTTTTACTTCTAATAAACAGAGTTTTATTAAGGGTTCTTAATGCAAGTCAGATCTATATCAATATTATTGTCTCTACCCAACATGAGAGGAAAGTTAGCACTGCATTCCTATATAATTTTACACCACCAAACAAGTGTTCATTGAAAGCAGTATCAATAAATGCTAATTAATTTACTTTCCAGTGATAAACATCTCTCTGGCAAATTGCCAGATTTGGGGAAGAAAAGCTCATCTCATTGTCTTGGAGATTTGGGGGAGACAACTGGATTCATTCTCCATTTTTAGCCAGAAACCACTCCCCCCCTTTTTTTTCAGATTCTCAATGATTGCTGATTGCAATGGAGACGAACTACTTGTTACAGAGGTCCAAGCTATATGACATTTCAATTGTCCTTTGCAAAAGAGGGGGGTCTTTCTTTTCCATATTAGGCTACAAAAATTAGCAGCCCACCATCCCCAATGGCAATGAATGTAATCAACACTGCCATTTTTTTCTTCCTTCCTTCAACATTCTATACATCTCTACAAATACAGAAGGCTCAGAGACTGTTAAGCTAAATGAAGAATTGGCCACCTATTTAGCTTGCAACAAAATTCTTCTGCAAACGTTAATGTGGTAGATAGTTAATCCTAAATTCTAGCTCATATGATCAGTACACAATTTTAGGATGTTCCTTAAAGGAAATGAATTGAGAATCAAAATGTATGTGAGATTAATGGTTGAATGTGTTCTAAATGCAAACTTAGTATAGTAAACATTAATACATTCTGACACTATTACATCTGTATGAGATTGCTCTGATGACATGCATCAACCAACATGTATGAATAAAGATTTGACAAACATAAAACCAAATGCTAAATAAATGATAGAAAATGGTACACTGTATTCAACTGTTTGCAGCTGACCAATCTTGGATGCCTCATAGGCTATTGAGTCAAATTCAGGCACTAAGTAGCTGCATATATTTTAGCTCACCCCAAAGAGAAAATTAAATTTAAGGTGCAGGAAATTTTTAAAAATGTTTAAAGCTGCTGTAACTGCAAGAGACAACATATTTGATGCTAGTAGCAAAAGCTACAATGCCATTGCATTAAGTAGAATCAGTATCTATGATAATGAGAATCAATATAGTTACAATAGCAGCATGTTGAATAAGGACAAGGCGATCATGTTTAGATGATATTCAATAATGAAGATTCCATGATAACTTCTCTTGGTCTCTATAGTCTCAGCCCAATTTAATGCAGAAGGTCATAAGATAATAGAACACTAGGATGGGAACGACTTATGCCACTTATAACATGTAAATAAAGATGACTGTACTGTAACTGAACAACGTAATTCATTTTGCTAAGCCAGTAGGTCAGTTAACAGTCTGGGAAGTTCTTCATTCTTCTTGCTATCATCGTTTTCCTAGATGCAATGAATAATTTTTCTGAAAGCGTTAGCTCCCAAAAGGTAGATTTGCCCAGTGAAATTCTGATATAGGTAGTCCTCGACTTACATCTTTTCACTTAGTGATTGTTTGAAATTATTACAACACTAAAAAAAATGACTTATGGCTGATTTTAACACAACAGTTGCAGTATCCCACAGTCACATGATCAAAATTTGGATGCTTGGCAACTGGCATATATTTTGGATGGTTGTAGTGCCCCAGAATCATCTGATCACCTTTTGCAATCTTCTGACAAGCAAACTCAATGGGGAAGCCAGATTAATTTAACAACCATGTTACTAACTTGACAATGGCAGTAATTCACTTAACAAGAAAATGTTGTAAAACATTTTTTGTAAAATGGGGCAATACTTATTTAACAACTGTCTTGCTTAACAATGGAAATTTTGGGATCAACTGTAGTTGTAAGAAGATTTTGAGGAAATATGGAATATATGGAATTCTGACTTCTAAATATGCACAAGAGAATTTCAGCAATAAACACATTGTATTCTGTACAGAGAATCTAAGCATACCTTGCTTACTGCTTTTAAAGCCCTTTTGCAAACTTCGTATTTTGGCAAATCTTTCTGTGTTTTCTGGCAAATTGTCTGAAATAAAAAATTCACCAATTTAGAGATGTGTTATTTTTTTTTAATTAGTGAGAGGAAAATGTATGTGATATCTGTATCTGAAAATCTGTATCATGAATTTCATGCAAATGTTTACATTCTGGTGAATCAAAATATACTATCTTCTAGACCACCAAGACATCTTGTTCTGAAATATTTTTTTCTCCCAGGAAATACCTAAATTTCACTTTTAATATTTAATGTAATGTAACACCATCTTTCATTCTTTTTTTTTTTCTAGTTTCAAGTACAAATGTCTCTATCTGCCTACCTCTCCAGTTCAATTTTAACAAGGTATTAAAGTTCTGCATACTGAAGTCTTTGAAAACATTTAGATAGTTAGATCTAGAACAAGATGCCAATTAACATTTTCTCTTTTTAAGGAACATAATAAAAACAGTCTGATCATTAAACCAACATTTTATTAACTTGCTTTTATAAGCAAGCTATGAAAACAAAAGAACACCAAAGCAAACATCTCACACTGATATATTTCTAATAACAAGGGAGTTAAGAGCGGGTTTTTTTGTGAGAAGCCAAAATGCTATAAAACTGTTCCTGGTAATACGTTTTTTTTAGACCCTTAATGGAATAAAAAGAACCGTTATTGCTGAATTGCAGACCAAAAGACAGCAATTATGTACTATTACATAATTTAGCATACCAAGTTATGTTGGCAGAAGATTCAAAACTCTTGGTGACAAAATTCATTGGGTGGTCCTGACCACCCATTCTCACCACTGAAATTCTGTCTTGTGTTTTATTTATAAATATAGCTTTTTATTAATAGATTTTTAATTGTTAAATGAAACTATATATGAACTTATCTGTACAGTACAAGATCCAAACATAACTTTTATTTAATTTGTATCCCACTTTTGTTTTTACAAATAACTCAAGATGGCAAATATCCAACACACCTTCCTATTTTCCCCATAACAATTGACTGGGCTGAAGGTTTTCACAGCTAAGGCTGGATTAGAATTCATGGTCTCCCAGTTTGTAGTGTATGCCTTAACCTTAACCTCTACACCAAACTGGCTAGTTTAGACAACACTCCCTCTTTTCTTCTTCTTATTGTAATTTGGAACTGTTTCAATTGGTTTTAATTATTGGATTTTATTATAGCTAGTTTGTGCCACCCTGAGTCATATTGCAAGTGAGAAGGTCAAACATATAAGCTAAATAAATATTATAAGGTATTGTGACAATTGGTTTAAGCATGACTACCTTTAAGATTACCTCTAAAACTTTTATAAGAATTGTTTCAGCACTTGTGCAAAATATAAACTACTGAAGAGAAAATAGCACTAAATAGTCCTATTAAAGTCAACCAGCAGGAAAGGACAAAAAAGGGATTATAAAGCTTTATGCAGAAATTTATAATCCCACGGAAACCACTGAAAATTAAACACCCTAGCAGAAAGTTTACTTGCCCCAGCAAAAATATTTCCCAGGTTCCTCAAGACCAATTCTAAATTACTGAAATTATCACAATTCAGCAGCTTATATGATGGATAAGCAAATAAGTGATTATATAATTATAAATTATGACAGCAGAATTACATATATAAACACAATCATAAATAGAACAGACAATTAAAAATAAGCTGCTCTTACATCCATCAGCAGTGGAAGCCGGGTAACCCTTTGCATTGGGAGAATGAGGAAGGATATCATTGGTAAATTCCTACATTCTTCTTGGGTTTCAATCCGCGATAATACTTCCTTGAAGGATGGGTTGGTAGCTCTGTCCAAAATCGCAACAATTTTATAAGTTTTCTTCTGAAAAAATTTGTTTGGCAAATTGTTTTGAAAACATGAAAAACTAACACCAACAAACACATCTCATAAATCAGTTTTGCCCAAAATTCACAAGACTGTTCCACACATTTTCTATTAAGATGTGGTAGTACCCAGGCTAGGTATAAAACTGTTGCCTATGTTTTTTTCAACTCAAACAAAACTGCTGATTAGTTATCATAAAGACTCTTTCACATGTAAAAACACAATTCTGAATCTAATTTTCTTTTCTATAATAGATCTGGTGCTAAAATGACAATCTTTTCAGTAATATTTTATTTACAGAAAATTAACAAAAACATTTTAATAACAATTGTGACTGAAATATTTTAAATTTTACCTACAATTATATTCATAGTTTACTCATGATGCCTGTAGATAAAGGACAATTTAGAGATATACTGAAATAAATTAATCCTGTGGGAATCACTTGAGCAAAATTAAAATCTCAGTTTACCGTCTCCTTCAATGAGTATGGCTGAAATATTTATTTTTCAAAAACCAAATTTATACATGATTCATAATATCATTTTCCCCAAGCAATTCCAGGGGTAATAGTTTCCACTACTTACAACAGTTTCTGAAGCGTCCGCTGTTGATAGACTTCATTTGTGCAATACTTTATATAAGGGTCAAAAGTTGATGTAGTATGCTTTTCTACAATATCACTGATATCATCTATGAAGATGTTACTCCGATGCCTTTCTTCAAGCTCTGTGAAAAACCTGAAATGAACAGAACATTTTTGAAGAATACATTTAATCACATTTTGTTATCTAAAAGCAAAGAGATTCTTAATTGTCTTTCCACCCAAACAACTGGAACTTGCTAGACAGCCTGTCCTTAGATACTCTGTGTAACTGTAGAACCTTGACCTAATTGTCTGAAAACCATTAACCCCCGTTATTTCTTACTGGCAGGAAAAAATGTCTCTGAAATTTGTCTCTCTGGATGGAAGGTGAACAGTAAATTAACTACAGAGGAGACCACATTCAAAAGATAAATGAACATATTTTATGGGCTACTCAACAAACAACTGGAAGAAACTGAATGGAAACATTTGTTTTAGAAAAATGAATGTTTGAGTTAAATTAGGTTCTTTTATTCCTCATTTAAAACTTATGAGCCTGAAATTGGAGTTTACTTACTTCTGGTGACCAGAAATGTTACATAAAGTAGTAGCTCCTAAATGTTTCATTCTCAATAATTCCAGATGGATGGTGATTACTTTCGCTGACCAGCAAGACAAACGCCTTTTCTTTATGCATACAGTGGATATAAAAAGTCTATACACTACATAACAAGTTTTAGAAATGTGACTGCTGTCCAGATCTACAGGAGGTTATATTCAAGATGGACAGACCTCTGAATATCCCTCTGAATTTTTAAGAATTTTTCCAATGAAGGCAATATATTAAAAGCTCTGTCATTGTTAAAGGCATTGGGGAATCTGGTAAGAAACTATCTCTGAAATGATGCCCCAACTGACACAACTACATTAACTTAATAAATTTGGTTCTAGTTAAGAACTGCTTCATGAAAGCAAGGAAGATGTTCTATATATTAATAGCTGTTGTAAATTTATGTTTATTTTTAATCTGAAGATCTATGCATGCCATAGAAATAAGATCTATACAGTTCTCTGCTGGAGACAATCTGGCTTTGGTTTCTCATAGTGCTTGTTGTATTTGGAATTGGGAAACAAGGTATGAATGACAAGAAACTGAATGCATTGCAGAAATAGAGCACCAGAAATACAAAATTGTGAAGCCCATACTATTCTACTGTGAAAATATGTACTAAAGTAAAATAATCAAAATACTACATCTACTGTCATGATAACATCTGATAACTGTCATGGCGACATCTACTGTCATCAAAATACTAAATAGCTATAAATACATAAATGGTCTTCCTGTGTGGGAAAAGATGACTACAGACACAGCACTGTACATCCCTATTCAACGGCCTAAAAGTTTTGTGATTACATTCCTGGGACATCCCACAATACGTATCTTATACAGAGATAAACTGCAATATCCTCACCAGACGTGATATATGAAAAAATGTATATGTGCTGGCCACAATACCTATTGATTTGTTTATGAACAAATCAGCTGTTTATGAAAGTTTTAAAGACTTGAACATGTCCCTGTTTCAGCAAAAAAGAAAGTAACTTCTGTATTTAGAGGCTAATTTAATATAAAGCAACAGGTTAATAAATCACAATGATGCAACTGTTTTAGGTGACAAAGGCATCAAATGTATGAGTTTTCAGCCAAGAAAAAGCAAATAATAGCACAAGTGACTCAGAGTTCTTGGATTAGGCAAGGCCAAGGTTATACTGTTTACTCTATGATAATTTCCTTATGTAAGAGGATTTTTGGCTCTGGCATAGAACAGCCAATATTAAAAAACAGATAAATAGTAACCTTGACTCGATTTCAGAAGATTCTGATCTAGTTTTCTAAGAAAAGAGAAAAGTATTTGTCGCATATTTATACTTATTTCTTGTATACCATATCCTCTAACTACATTAGATATGTGCAATTAATAGTGTAATCATTTGACCATTATGTCCATAAATTTGGCATGATGTGGAGATGCATTTCATAAATCATAAGCCATAGGTGTTAAGCTATAGGGTGGTTTAATAAGCCATAACTTGGCTTATGTGATGTGGAATAAATCAGTTATTCTAGTCAGGGCGGCAGATACATCTGTGAAGCCCTGGACTGTGTTTTGGTTTCAAACATAACAGTTAACCTAGACTTGGTTTACTTATAAAATAATAAAAGGTGGAATAAAAATCTAATAAATAAATAAAACAATAATTTGCACGCTGAAAGTGTTAACAGTGTAATAAAGACTGATAATATGGGTTAATATTAGTTTCATAACTGAAATACAAATGTTATTTTAATAATATCATTTGCCATATGAGTATATTATGATATAATAGAGTTGCTTTATTGTTGCACTGACTCTATTTTTTTTTTTGTAAACAATAGTTTGCCAATGTGAAAACCAGGCTACTAGGGTTTCTTTATGTTTTATGTTTGTATGTTTTAACAGATAACTTTCATTGGCAGTTCTAAGCAAAATTAAGCATCCTATCCCTGCAACTATTACAAATTGTTCAGGAGGATTACCTGATGGAAAGGTCCTTCCGAAATAACTAATCTTTGGGATTAACCATTGTTTTCATAGGCAGCCTATATATAATTGTATCATGGCTAGCACTTAGAGAAATGCGGGGTCCTTGGTGCTTTTGACCTTGGTAGCTTATTTGCAAACATTTCATCGTCAGACTAGGTAACATCCTATCAGCACAATGTCTGCAAGAAAACTATCAAGCCCAGAAAGCATCAAGGACCCCACAGTTCATCCTGAGCTATAAATATTATTTTCTATTGATACTCAAATATCAAAATGTCATCTGACAGAAAACAACCAATGCTGGAACTATGGCCGAAGTGTTGAATTAGAATGTGGTGTAAGAGTAAAGTGGAGAAGGCCAAAGGGAGAATGGAAATGTAAAATCAGGGATAATATGAATTCCTTGCCATGATAGATAGAATTGTACTCCCACTTAAAATGTGGTTATAAAAGTAAACATATAAATGGAACTCTACTCATAAAATATTCCTCCAGTAGTAGAACTCAATTTTTCTTAACAGTAGGATTATTCTTGCAGTTATCCATGAAAATATCCAGTGCATCAGTATATTCAATTTTTATGAAAGAAAAATTTGCTCCTAGAAATGAAAGCTACCGAATATATTTATTCAGAAATAAATATAACTGCATTCAATAAGACCTCTCTAACAAGAACATTTAGTTTTTCAGCTTAAACAGACTATCTACCATGTTTACTACAAAGAAAGGGATAATTATATAAACTAGTCCAAACCTGACTAAACATCTGTAGGAATTTACAAACATAATTTCGATCACAAATTAAAGAACCATCAAAATATCCGGCAACATAAAAATCAATAGTTTCTATCAAATTCACAACCTTACAATAGCATCTACTAATAAGTTAATTGTTTATGCATATGATTCCCATACATCTCTTAAGGGTTTGGCAAAAGCTGTTTGGTTTAAGACCAGAAAAGATATGATTCTAAACCAGAAATGCCTTAATTGAAGAAATCTGTCAAAGCTTTCAACAGTATTTGTACTATGCACTACATGGTTTGCCAAAAGATTAACACAGAACATATATAAATCTACTATAATAGATCTGTGTAACAAATATTTAGCATGCTCCATGCTATCTTATAGCAAAGATAGGCAACATAATATGATTTCAAACAGTAAAAAAAATGTAAGATTTTTTTTAAAAAAAAATCATTCCCATGAACATTCTTTTATCTAGCAGGCATGCTTGGTTAAGCTCCATTGATTTTGATACGCCTTAATAACAGATGGAAAATAGCTAAAAGCTCTTTTCTTTTAGTTCTTAACTTCTTATAAGTTGACACAACAAAATTTGACCCACTTGATCACACGTTTATAAATTTGTTCTTTGGCTGAATTGTCTAAAGAAATACAGCAACATGTACTTGCCAACAATATAAACATGAAAGAATTTACAAATTCCTGGAAGCAAGAAACAACCAGATGCATATCATTAACTTTGGTGATAAAGACGGTTTAAAACATACTTCTTGCTTGCTTCACAGACATCTGCAATATTGGAGAAAAGATGATGGCTTTCTGTCTTTGTCATTGTAGAACTCAGCTCTTTGGAATTCTTAAACATCCGAATAAGAATTTCTAGACTGAGCAGATATGAATGTTCTGAAGAGATTACTTCAAACATAGCCTGCATGATCGGGGAAACAGGGAAATGAGAAAACTAAAGTTATTTCTTTTGATTTTATACAACAAATCATTTCACAGTAATACATTTTCAAAAGGGTATTTTTGAACATCCAGGACAATTATTCTGAATTATAAATTAAAATTTAATACTTGAGTACATTTTTCAACAGTAAGCAAAAATGCAAATTTTAGGATCATTTTATACCTGTTTTAGCATGTACTTTGTTTAAAACAAAAAAACTCTATAAAGAAAACTAAGTGAAAAATTGTAAATAAAATAAAAATACCTTTTTGCCGCTGCCTCCACTTGGCCAGTGAAGACACACTAAATATATATATTAAACATGTAACATAAAAAGAAGAAAGTATGTAAAACAATTAGTTAGGCTAGATTGGATATCAAAAGGTGGCAAATTTCAATCATTTTTAAGATTTTGGGGATATTTTAAAGAGGAAATGCCAGCAACTTGACTCTTAGGCTCTGGATCTCAATCTCATCCTTTAAAAGAAGGAAAAATTAAAAAGCAAAATCAATCAATCAATCCATAATATTCTAGTGGTAACCCCATAGCATTCCTAATGAGAGCCAGAAGCTGGATGGCTGGGCTGTTGCTTTGAGATCTTAAAATATCTTCCAACCCCGACTTCAGATAAATATGTGAATTATATCACATTTTTCAGATCAGTGTTCATTATTTTTGGATTTTCTTTCCTCATATATTTTAATATATTGATTTCATAACATATTTGTACCCATGCAGTAACATGGATGGTGGGTGTGTGTGTGTGTGTGTGTGTGTGTGTTTTATAGAAATAAAACAAACAAAAAGGAAAGTAAAAAGAAAGAAAAAGAACCTCATTAAAAAAATTAAATGTCAAATTACTTGAAAACTTAAAAAAAATCAAGCATTGACAAATCAAAAATATTAGAAATTTACTGCTGGCTATGTTTTTTAGTTAGCTAAGAAGATGTCATAAATTCTTGATATTATAATAATTCTAATAATCCAGGATACATTTTTAACAAATCTATATTATTTTAGCACTGTTAAAAAGTCATGTTAATTCAGCTGTTAATTCATAACAAAAATAAGACAAGCCCAGACCTTATATGTTACTTATTGAATATTGAAATGTCCAACATACATAAAACAAAAATAACCTTTATTAATTTATTGCAAAATTAAAATACTTCATAGTAAATCAGCAGCAAAGTTGCACAGCACAGAATAATGCTGTTTTTTTTATTGAAAGTTGGCTGAACATGAAAAGGATGGGGATCCAGAATATATATATATATATATATATTCTCTCAAACTTTTTTGCAATCTAGTATTCATTATTCAAGTCAACGTATATCCAGTTTGACACAAGGAAAATGATAAAGAAGAAAACAGCTGAGATAGAATATGAGATTGATTTAATTATTCTTAAATTTTGTTACAAAGCAGCAGTGTTCAAATTTTGGTGGAGGTTAGGGTGGAAAGGACTTACAAGAAGCGGTTTGGTTTAGTGGTTAAAGCACTAGGTTAAAAAATAGACCCTGAGTTCTAATTCTACCTGAGATAAGAAGCAACTGGGTGATTTATTCTCTTTCGGCCATAGAAGTCAATGGCAAATCATTTCCAAAAATCTTTGCAAGAAATTGCACGAACTAGTCCAGTAAGTCGCCAGAAATCAACACTGACTCAAAAGTGTACATGCGCATAAAAAAGCAGACCTACATGCAAGTCCAGGGTAGTTAATAAAAAAAATCCCATTTATGAATGAATATGAATCTTAAGAAACAGCCCTTCTATCTACCAGGATGTTTTCATTACCTCAGTGGGCTTTAGTCATTTTTTACATGATGGCTGTACCACTTTCAATAAGATTCTCTGGTTCCACCCAAAATATATATTTTAAAGTAGTTTTGATGCAGCCCATTCTTTCATTGTTGTTCTTGTTTTTACAATGAATATTTAGCATACTGATTGAGATCCTGGTGTTCCCTACTGTCACTGTTTTTCAACTGGGAGTTTAATGTCTACAGTGAGCTGTATTGTAGCTATAAAGTCTATAAGCATTTCAAGTATGTATTTCCGTTCTTTTCAATCTGTGCATTCTTCTGCTGGGTGGGCTTTGACTCCCAAAGTTCTTGCAGTGATAATTCTGGCTTGGAAACCCTAAGAATTAAAGTCCAAATATCTGGAAAATGTCCAGCCTTCTGGGGCAAGCTGGTTAATTGTTTTCAAGTCCTTAATCAACAACCAACATAAAGAAGATCTTTATAATATGACTAGAGACAACAGAAGCACTGTGACTTACATTCCTGCTATCATCTTGCCCTGAAAACTATGTTTCTACTGCATCTTTTTTGCCTTAAATTCAGTCATAAAGAAAGGATTTGCCTAAAGAGAGCAGCAGTGTTCCATGACTAATTTGTTCTGATCTGATTTTTTTTAAAGAAAGGACATCAGAGAACTCATCTTCAAGACTATTTAAAGATTCTTTGTTCTCTGTCCTGATGACAGCCCTAATTGATTCCTACAAAGCTGAGAAATCTAAGACTAGGCATCCCAGTTTTGAAAGTGTAAATGAGATAGGGGTTAGCCAGTTATATCTGCTTGTGAGCCAAGCAGATAATGAAAACAGCTTTTCAAAGGATTTCAGAAAACTTCCAGAAAATTAGTTTAAAAAAAAAAACAGAACAGAACAGGGAGTGTTTGAGCTCATGTATAACCTAGTGATGCTAATTGGAGATGAAGAATGATAACACATTTTCCAATTCTTATTTCTTACTCAAGACAAGTAACAATCTTCATGAGTGACAGTCCAAAATGTAGTTTCAGTTCATCTGCATAACAGCAATGCACACAGATGTTTAAAGCCTGATAGCTGATGAACAGTTGTCAAAACTATTTAGAGATGAAATGTGCACTGAAGCTTTACATATGGCACTGAAGAAGTGCTTACATTTAAAATTAAAAGGGCTTTAAAACAGAAGGCACGCTTTTAAAACTGGTGCTTAAAACCCCTGTAGTAATTACATTTAAAATTAGAGGGGCTTGTATGTAGCAGTTACATTTTAAGAGCTATCTTAGGCCAGATTATTACTCCTTGCATTATCACACAGATTAACTTAATACATTGCAACAGTAGCATCCGAGGTAAATTGCAACAATAGAATCCAAGGTACATTAGTATGTACAAAACGTATGAACCTTAAACGAATAAGCAAGGGAAACGGCATCAAAGTGTATACTGTATTTAATTTACATGTAAACATACATATATAGTTTATTATAATATATAATTATAATATTAGTATATTATAATATACTAAAAGTGTGTATGTGTGTATGTTTACACACACACACACACACACACAAACACACACTATTAAAGCAGTCTTAGGTTGAGTAGTTTATATTATTATATCCTCAACACTCCTGTCCAATGGAAAAAGTGTGCATTTGGGGAATCTTTCTTACCAACATGTATATCCACTTTACCATGTAACATTAAGCTTAAGATTAATCAGCTTATTTAAAAAGCCAAGTGATATAACATGAAAGCCACAGAACTCACAAACTGTGATGGGGTTCACACCTAGGTTAAACCACAAGACGTGTTGTAACCATCATTGCTCAGTAAAAAGCCTTTCCAGGTTATCTCCCTTATCATTTTATTCCTATTTTCTCCAGGGGTGGGATTCTACCGGTTCAACCTGGTTCTCACCGAACTGGTTGTTATGCTGGTAGGATCTCACCCTTGACTTTACCGTCTATAAAGTTGTAGCCAATCCAATCCAACAGCCTTTTCCCTTTTTTCTTCTTTAGTTTGAGTCATTACCCAGCCTTGAGCTCCTCTGGTTTGGACTGCAGCTGAAGAGAACTGCACCAACTTCAACTTTTCCCCTGACAACTGGCAAATTCCTATCATTTTAAGAATTAGTTGCTTCTTTCCCACTTTATTCACATCAGAGTTTAATTTAAAAGGTTGATATTACCTCTCCTTTGGACATTCCCTACCCTGACTTTATGCAGCTTAAAAATCTGACTTGACTTACACTCAGATTGCTCTTTAGGTCCTTCCTTATGATCTCTCATTGAATTGTCAGGACTATTCTGAGGAACAGTTATCTTGAGTGCAGTCCAGACCAAAAGGAGCTGGAGGAGAGTTTTCCAAACTCATCAAGAGGGCAGCAGAAGCCTCTAGAGGGCTGAGGAGGAGAAAACAACAAATTTTAGGATCACTCCTCATACTAATACGATAAAGATTAGAGATCCAACGCAAGCTCATGAGCAAAGTCACAAAACGGGGAGGAAATTATTTCCACATCTCCACATATCTCTAGTCCAACTGGCTACATGCCAATCTATAACAAATGGCAAATATCACAGAGCTCTTTCTCTTGATGTACTACTTTCCGCTATTACTGATGAAACATATTTAAATACATTTTATTTAATATTAGATAAATATTACTAAAATGTTCAATGTACACAGATATGGTAAAGGAAGTAAAGGAACAAAATCAGAGATATCTTAGCATTTTTGAACCACAACTAACTACTGTATTTTTTGCACTATAAGATGCTCCAGACCAGCAGTCGCCAACTGGTGGGCCGTGAGAAAATTTTTGGTGGGCCACAGAGAAAAGTCACCCCCAGAGCACCCCCCCAAAGCAATTAATCCATGCTGCGCAGAAACATAAGGCTGCCCTGCCCACATGGCCCACGGGAACCCTTCCTGCCCATTCACTCTTTACCAGGCAAACTTGCCTACTAAGTTGCTATTTTTCCTTTTTCCGACCATGATCTGTTCTGCTGTGCTGGGAGATTTAGATTAGCTAGGAAGCAGGAAATGGTTAGATTTCTTGCTTTCTAGCTAGTCTTTAGATCTTCGGGGCTCTGCTTTTAAGCACAGCCAAACCTCCCTTAGGACTGAAGATTCTATTATTCAGTGCAAGCAAATTTTATGTGACAGACTGAGCTAGCTGATAGCAGATAGATAGATCACTGAATGATTCTGTGAGCAACTCAATCTGCCTGCCTGCTTTGCCTGATTTTGGGTAAAAGTTGCTCTTTGTTATAAAAAAAAATCAATATTTACATACATGGTATGTTGTGAGTTAATTTTGTAAGTTTGCTTGCTAGCAAATTTTATGTGACAGACTGAGCTAGCCGATGGCAGATAGATACACCTCTGAATGAATCTGTGATTCTGTGAGCAACACAATCTGTCTGCCTGCTTTGCCTGATTTTGGGTAAAAGTTGCTCTTTTTTTAAATAAAAAATTAAATATTTATATAAATATTTATAATATTTACATACAAGCCATGTCCAGCCAGTCACATGACCACCAAGCCACACCCACAAATTATGTCATGCCCACAGAACCAGTGAGTAGTCCCTGGGATTTAAAATTATGAATTTGGTGGTCCCTGAGGTCCAAAAGGTTGGCGACTCCTGCTCCGGACTATAAGACGCACCTTATAGTCCTTTTTGGGGAGGAAAACAAGAGAAAAAAAATCTACCTCTCAGCAATTTGCCTCCTTGCAGAAGACAGCAAACAGCCTGGTCAGCTTCAGCACAGCCTGATTTACCACAAGCAGCTGATTGGCAATTGGATTGGCCTCCTGGAATACTGCCAACCATGCTGAAGCTATTGCTGCCTCTGTGCACTCCATTTTCAGCCTCCGCATGCTCCATTTTTTGCCTCCGTGAGTCCTGCTTTTGGCCCATTCTAGGTGGTAGGATTTGCCGCCAATCAGCGGTGATAAGCAGAGATGATTGGTGGTTATCGGCGGAGATGGCAATCGCCACTTCAAATGGGCTGAAAACGAGACACACTAAGACCGAAAATGGGACATGCGGAGGCTGAAAATGGGATGCATGGACCCAATATGTGGCAGCAGTGATGGCGATCCCGGCAGCCTGGAACAGCTGGTTGGCGGTATTCCAGGAGGCCGATCTACCTGCCAATCAGCTGCTCATGCTAAATCAGGCTGTTCTGAAGCTATAGGGAAGAATACAATGTCAGAGAACCTGGATAAAAAGAATGCTATTGTAATTTAGTTCAAAGAAAAAAAGATAACCAGAACTTACTGTCATTATAAAACAAACGTACTAGAAAGGTATATATTAATAATTGAATTAATGATTAATAACATTTCAGATACCTCTTGCCTTTTTCTTTCTTCTTGGCTGATGGTCTGAGATAAGCCATTCCTCTTCACCTGAAATGAATGCTTAATTAATATACTTTTATAACTCATACTTTAAAAAAAAAAATAGAAACAGTACATTTGCTTACCCTAGCTCATAGTTTCTACAATGTAAAGCTTCTTCATTATACAAACAGCAACTGACAATTTATGATTCCTAAATGATCTGACAATGTCTCAACCATAGGTAACTTCCGTGTTGTCAGTTCCCTTAACAAATGTTACAGACTATTGAACCTCTGGACAACCAAAGGTGTTCTGGAAAGATTTTATTATGGGTCCCAGATGTAGAAAATTGCCCTGGGAAGGGTATTACTGCCAGAAGTATGTTCTTAATTCCCTGGTACACTAAGGTATCAATTTAATTCTACTACAGCAGTGATACCCCAGAAATGTCAAGGATGGACCAAGGATGTAAAATGTAAAGAATGGGGCAAAATCCAGGCATAAAAAAAGGTATTTTTTATATTAAAATTCTAACAGCTTGGGATTACAGAGGGAGGTATGTAGGCTGATGGATCAGTGTGTGAAGACTGGCAGATCGGTAGTGGGCATGTGATAGGAAGAAAGATAAAAACCTTGCAAATATTCATGAATGTGTGGTAAGATTAGGGCAGGCTGTAAGAAGGAAGAACAGAAGACAAACATATGTTATCTCAGTTACTTTATATAATTTTCATTAGATTTTTTGTTATATGAAAAATCATGTGTGCTTATTTTTAATCAAAAATCAAAACATGTATAGCATGTGTTTGCATTTTATTTAATTATGGTAGTTTTATTTATGTAATTGAATTGTTTGTAAGGACAGAGGGGGGAAAATCTGCCTCTGCCTCTCAACAATTTGCCTCCTTGCAGAAAACAGTAAACAGCCTGGTCAGCTTCAGCACAGACTGATTAGCACAAGCAGCTGATTGGCAGTTGGATCAGCCTCCTGACAATCAGCTGTTTCAGACTGCAGGGATCGCCATTGCCTATTGCCGCTTCCACGCACCCATTTTCAGCCTCTGCATCCCATTTTCGGCCTGTCCCAAACTACAGGAATTGGAAAGAGCTGAAAATGGGGTGCACAGAGGCCGAAAATGGGATGCAGAGGCCAAAAATGGGGCGCGTGGAGGCGGCATTAGGTGATGGTGATCCCTGCAGCCTGAAACAGCTGATCACTGGGAGGCAAATCCAACCTCCAATCAGCTCCTTGTGCTAAATCAGGTTATGCTGAAGCTACCAGGTTGTTTGTTGTTTGCTACAAGGAGGTAAATTGCTGGGAGGCAGAGGCCAAGGGGTGGGGGCCAGCAGGTGGGTGGGGTTTCAGCAACATTCACTGTATAAGATGTACAGACATTCCCACCTACTTTTTTTGGGGGGAGGGGTGCATCTTATACACCGAAAAATACGGTCTATAGACTAATGTTTAACATGGAAAGAGGCATTACTTTATTGTGAGGTTATAGAGATTAGCTAAAGCATACCTCTACTAATTTTAATACAAACAAAACTCTGAATTATTTCATTAAAAAATTAGAATTAAAATTAATCATTTTTGTCCCTGTTAGACAGATACAATCATCCTATATAGCCCAAGAATGTCAAAAAAAGGCAATTCAGATTTCCATCCCCACAAATTTTGTTTTCTTTCCTAAGAGCAAAATTTGGAACTGATCCAATGGATTGGTCATTTATAGGTACTTAGGTAATGAGAAAGGCCATTCTTCTGATGATTTATGAGAAAAAAAGTTTAATTGTTCCCTATAACAGTTGTTTAGCCAAGATTCTCACTGTTCATGAAAGCCAAGAGACAGGAATATTGGTATGGTTATCTCTAAACATTTGCTTGGTCTCTCTACGCTTCTATCATCAGCTAAGTCTCAATGAATCAAAATTACCTGAAAGGCAAGAATTCACTAAATCTACCACACATCCCTGTGTAGCTTCACAGGGTATACTTGATATTCACTGTTAGTACTCTTTTTGTTTTTATGTAACCTGGCAAAAGATGCAGCTATTTTACAATAATTTGAGTTGCAAATAATTTGAAAAACTTTCTTATATAACTTAAGATATACTATTGCCAAATGATTTTCACTTTACTTCCTGGTATGCTCACAATTCAAGCTACTTTCACATGCATATTATTGCCCTGTTGTTGCATATTTTGAATGAGACAGCGTAGCTTTTACTTCTTTAAACAATACAGCTTTTAAAAGAGCTGAATATATCTTATTTCTAATAACTTAGGAACTATTTTCAAAAGACTTTCTGTTCTATCCAGCTTCTTTTTCATGCAGTCAATTAAGAAGAGATAAGCAAGCTAAAAAAAAGATCTTACATAAAACCAGAGCATTGTAAAGAACAAAAAAGGTAATAACCCACACACATAGGACCAACATCGCCCATATATTTCCTATGTATATTACACACATATATGTAAGTGGGTGTGTAACATGCTTGCTTGCTTGCTTAAATGAGAGACATTTCTTGTCCACAAGGAAGATTTTTTCAGCTGCAATTCCTGTTCAATACCTCAATCTGCTTTTCTCAATAGTTAATCAGATATTGTTTAACTAGGCTATAATGGATGGATTTATACATTACTTTAAATCATAAACCATGAATTACAACCTCCAATGGCCATTAAACCAAAACCAAGCAAACTGCATTATGTTTTAGTTGTGATATGTGTACCAATGCTTATTGGTTATGAGTGGGGTAAAACCTGCATGAACTCCTTTACATTTACCAACACAATGTTTTCATGAGAATTGTAGCCAATTACAGTGGAAGATGATTAATTCTAAAGCTCCAGTGCAAGTAGAATCCCACTTCCAGTTCTTTGGTTCTAACTCATAAGGTCTATAAGGAACTCTGGTATCAAATGTTCATGATATAGTAGAATTTTGTTGTGAACCAATGAGCAACAAAGTGATTTGATTTTGCTTATCATAAACCTATTTAAAACAAGAGCATAATGGGAACTATGCTAATTTTGGAACCATTCAATCCACACAGTTTGCATCTGATCCTTGTAGTAGCAAATACTACATCCTCTTGTCTTACAGAAAAAGGGGTATGTCCCAAGTTGTATACATAACTCTGCTCCACAAGGCACTAACTCATCCAACTAATTTTTGTCGAAATATAGAAGTCTTTTCCTAGTGCAGAAAACTGTGACTAAGTGATCAATATTTGTTCAATATTCTATTGTTCAAATATTACTATGTTCTTCCTTGTAATTTATGCAGTTTTATCATGAAGATATTTTTTTTAAAGGGCACTGTTTAACTGTTTAAAGATGCACCCACCTGACTACAGAATGTGACTACAGCACAATTTGTAATCCATCACCTATTTACACATATCAACTTTAAAACTATCTTTGAAAATCATTGCCCTTAGCTTGTAAAGAGATTAGATTCTGCTAACATATAAATCTTGGCTTACTACCACCACATGGGTTCACAACTGCATTAAATCAGAGGTGGTATTCAGAAGGTTTTGACCAGTTCTGGAGAATCGTTAGTGGAAATTTTGAGTGGTTTGGAGAACTGGAAGCAGAAATTTTGAGTAGTTCGGAATACCACCTCTGACTGGCCCCACTCCCATCTATTCTCTGCTTCCTGAGTTCCAGCTGATCGGCTGGGTCTTCTTTTGTTGCCCTCCACAGGAGAACAGAGCTGGAAAGCCAGTTAGTGGTGTGGGAAGAGAATGGGGATTTTACAGTATCCTTCCCAGGAGCGGAGTGGGAATGGAGATTTTGCAGTATTCTTCCCCTGCCTCACCCACCAAGCCATGACCACAGAACCAGTAGTAAAAATTTTGAATCCCACCACTGCATTAAGTGATAATGCAACTTGTTTGGTTTGATATGCTGAATAAATCTAGTCAACAATAAACCCAACCAAGCAATTACCCAATTTTGTTTCATATTTGTGAGATCAAGAAGAGGTCATAAAGTGTGATTACTGAACTATACTTGACGTGGTGAATTTTTATGTCTCACACCTGTGAATTAATCAAGTCATTCTTACATACAAGATTATGTTATAGCCAATGGAGACATTTTTAGAAAGGTATTACTGCATCAATAATAGGTTAATGATAGAGTTTACTATAGAGCAGGGGTCCCCAACCACCGGTCCGGGGACCGGTACCGGTCCGCGGAACAACTCCTACCGGGCCGCGGCTTGCTGGGCGCCGCCATCTTTTTTTCATGAAAAAGTGCTTCCAGTGAGCTTTTCCGGGTAGAAAGCTCACCGGAAGCACGTTTTCATCAAAAACAGATGGCGGCGCCAGCGCTTCCGGTGAGCTTTTCCGGGTAGAAAGCTCACCGGAAGCATTTTTTCATCAAAAAAAGATGGCGGCGCCCAGCTGATGCCGGTACCGGGCCGCGGCGCCCAGCTGATGCCGGTACCGGGCCGCGGCATCAAAAAGGTTGGGGATCACTGCTATAGAGGATTGGAATGGTTCTTGAGTCATTAAAATGTTAAGTTCTATTCACTTTTGGGAACAACAGTCGTTTGCAAAGATACTGCCAAACATTAAAATGACATATAAGTAGCTAACAACATTACATCTTAAGCAATGAATTAAACTGTACTTGTGAGTGCAGCTAACTCCAGAACTTAAAAAAATGTATATTTTTTGATGTCTTACAGATTTAAGATTTAAAATTATTTCCTTATCTGTGAAATTGTAGGAAGATATCACAGAACTGATTTTCATTATCTACTTATACATTATCCATTCATATTGCTCTGATAATGCTGAGGTTGCTGATTTCAAGTGAGCAAGGAACTAGTGGCATGATTATTTTTTGCAATAGCTCTACATGACCCTTGTGGAATGATTATGGGAAGCAACCACATGAAAGCAATAATTGGACTGCTAAGATAATGGCCAAATTTGGATGTTCACAATATAATTTAAGTTCCCTGCAATGAACTATTTCAGTTGATTCAGTCCATCTTCTCTTCTAATCCAGCAGAGACCACAGTGGGAAATTAAGAGCACAGCGCAGTTGGTTGTTCTGACTGCAATAGGTCAGACTTTAAGTAATTAATTAAAACAACTTTTTAGAGGAGTTGATAAAATAATAAAAAGGTTTTTTTTGCTTTCTCTTAAACTATACTATTAAATTATGTTGTGTACCTGATTTAGCTGAAATCCAATCATACTGTTTCAGAAAGATTTAAGAAATATTCATTCACAGTTGATCTTTTGACTAAGGTCATATTTGAACATTCTGAAAAATTTTAAGGTGTCAACTGAATGTATAGAAGACTGGACATATAGAAATACACAGAAAAATATGCCCTACTCTTGGCTTTTCCTGCTCTTTGTGCAGGTCTCCACATCTCTTAAACAAAATTGTTACTTTTATATATTTGAAACAAATATGTGTAGTTCTCATTTAACAATCACAATTGGGACCAGAATCAGTCACTAAGCAAGGATGTCACATGATCTCTTTGTTCAATGAGTGCAATCCTGGCTCTGCTAGTTGTTGTTGCTAAGCAATTGTGTAGATCATTAAGTGGAAGGAGTGCCCAGTAAGAAGGCACAGTGGGAGGCACTGGAGGCTTGGCACAGGCTGTGTATGAGTTGGCAGGGTGCTGAATGCAACACAAGTCCAGGCCTGCTCCCACCATCTTTAGAACGACTACTTATGAGAAGGAGGCTTCTGAAATACTGCAAAAGTGGGCACCATTCTCACAATTATTCAGGAGGTTGGAAGGCTTCTGAATGATCAGGAGACTGGAATCATTTGCAGTTGCAGAAAAAGTGAAGTGGGGTGCTTTGCATGCACTGGTGGGCCCTCTAACTGGCTAAGGCATCTTAGGCCTCATGGGGCAGGGAATAGGGCCAGGTATCCCAGGCCTAGTGAGGAAGGGAGCAGGCCCGGTCTTCTCATCCAGGTGGGTGACTAAGATGAGGGGGATATTGGCAGGGGGAGAAGCTGCAGCACACCTCTGGTTGTAAGGGTAGACAGACTGCCAAGTATCCAAATTTTTATCATATGGCCACAGGGTCGCTGCAGTAGGTGCACTTTCTGGTAACAGTTATTAAGTCCACATTCTAGATAGAGAGGACCACTGATTTGAAAGATGAATTAAAAAGTCCAACTATGTTAGAACTGAACAGCCGTCCCTCAACAGAGGGGGAGGAAAACAAATCCTTCCATCCCTCCCTCCATCCCATCAGAACTTTTCTTAGATGAGAAGTGAGATGTCTTTTTCCTCAAAGAAAAAGCATAGTCCAGCTGTCTTTTGAAAAAAGCACCTCTGAGTTAGTCCATTCATTCAGCACCGTTAAAATTTCAAATAGTTGCTGAACAAATAGTCATTAAACAGTAACCACCTGTACACCTCTCCATAGAATTGAAGATCGCCAATAACGAAAGAATACTCAGAGAAAGCAATCACCAAACCTCTACCAAAAAAGTTAGAATTCTAGTTTGGCCAGTATGAAAGAAGTCCCAATGGTTCCTTGATAATACAAAGGTGAAATGGAACTGAGGGGTCAGGAAAAGAGGATGCGACAGTCTGCTGACAGTTTTAAAAGAGACCACTGTTTAAAGATATATTACAAGCAATGCTTTGCAGGGAGCCATTCTGTTACGAACTAACTAAATAAACTCATTATTAAAAACTCTTCGAGCT